TATAATTTTGATTAGCCGAATTATATACTTTTTTGACAAATGATTGACGAGTGGCATTATGCCAAATAAATCCATTTTGACTAGTATTAGTAATAAAAAACTTAATTAAAATTTGCTATTTATGTTAAGATTGTCAATGTAATAATTAGAAACAATTGATTTAATAAAGTCTCACATTTAATACCTGTTTGCAATTAAAAAAACATATCAAAAATATATTTTTTATATTATCAAATTTTATATTATTTTCTATAAGAAATTAATTTTTATTTAATAATATATGGTTTATAAATTTATGCAAATTTACATTATTATACTTTTTGACAAATTATCGATAAATAAAATATTATCATGTAATATAAAAGACAATAATTTGATTTTTATTAAATCGAATAAATAAGAAATTCTAAAACTTGTTGATTGTTTCAAGAAATTCTACGATATTTCGACATACACTGACAACGTGTTCTAGTACCGACATATTTACTTATATCAACCCAATTTCCAGTTCCAAATTTTTCAATACCCTCCTTCAGTAATGATACTTCTTTTTTACTCCACGATTTTTTTCTGACAAAAGGATCTACGGCAACATTATCGAAAACGCATTTTTTGATTTCAACAATGTTCCTATCAGGAAAATATTCGGCTATTTTCTCCCAGTCTTTTCCAAGCTTGTTAAGTATTTCTCTTAATTTGTCTAACTCATCTATAGTCCATTTTCTGCTCTTTTTTATTCTGTAACGTTTAGCAACATATTTTTGAGACCTTTTTAACACTTCTGCAATTAATCTAAAGTCCGTCCCCCATTTTTCGACATATTCGAATAGTAATTTGTCCTCTTCAGGAGTCCACTTTATATTATTTCTATTTTTTGTCAAAAAATCCCACCTTACGGGAAATTGCACGAAATCCTTTCCGGGTAACATGTCTGCCATTTGTCGCCAATTTCCGATACCATATTTTTCAACTGCCTTCTTCAAAGTTTCATCTTCTTCAGGAGTCCAAGCATTATATTTATTATCAGGTTTTGCCTTTTCACTTTCTAAGCTTCTTATTTTTGTTTTTATCTTCTCGTAAGTCACTGATTCATCTTTAAAATATAAATCGTAAATCAATCTACAATTTCTACCGTGTTCATTTAAGGCTTTCATTAAAATTTCTTCTTCCTGTTTTGTCCATCTTTTTCTGACATCCTCGTTTGTTTGAATTGGTGCTTTCGCGTTTGGAATGTATTTTTTCACAGGACCGAACTCTTGGATATTGAAACTTTTAAGTGTTTTGACCAAATTTTCGTCATTGATCTCGGAGGTCGATTTTTCGACGATGTATTTAGTATCAGCTAGAGAAGAATTTTTTAAAATTACAGACGGGGAAGACAAAGTATGCATGTGATGACACAATATTTTCTTAATATTTCTCGAAATCAATTTTTGCTTGCTAAACATAGTATTTTTAAGAATGAATTTTTTTATCGGATCAACATCTGTTACCCTTATATAACCGATCGCAGTTTAAATATTTTTTTTCTTAATTAGGATAAAACTAAACTTTTTATGTTTTACATTAAGGGAAAACTTTATTTATTATATAATTTGATATGATAAACTCTAATAACATCTAATAATTGTCAACAACAATGAAACTGGGCATCATCTTTGGAAGATAACAAAATGCAGAATACGATTATTTTTTTTTGGTCTCTAAAAAATTCAACGTTTAGCTTCAAAAATAATTATTTATATATTGAATATTATATTCAAATTATTTCGAAAGCGAAAATATTATACAGTATGGTACAAAAAAAACCAGAATCATATATTTACTTATAATTCAATAACTAATTAATTAAATTATATAAAACTTTATAAAT